GTGCGCAGAGCTAGTAGCTTGTTAGAGATTTATTAGTAATAGTTAATTATTAAATTTTACTACTTTCTAGTAAAGGTTTTTAACTTCTTTTTAAAAGTTTACTAGTTTATTTATTTTATTACTAATCTACTAAAGTTTTTTAATGTTATCCTAGATTATATTAATCTGTTTTGCTAAAATAGCTTTACTTTAGGTAGGAACTTCTATAGATCCTAACAGGGCTGTGTAGGCTATGTTAGAATCTAAGTTATATTATGTAGTTATACTTTTTAAAGAAAAAAGTGTTTAATATTATAATTTTTACTTTATAAAAGCACTTAGGTTAATAATATTCCTAGAGAAGTAGTAGAATAGGTAGTAGAGGCTAACAGCAGGGTGTACAGTCCTACGTAAAGGCTATTAGGCTACTAGAGAAAAGAAGAGTAACTAGATTATAGTTTACCCTATGTGCAGCAGTATAGTGGCTAGGTTAAACAGTCTTATTAGATAAAGTTAAAGGTATATATAGTGTAAGATATATAAATAGTATTACAGCTCTTTAAAAAGCTAAATGCTACTTAGTCTATGTAAAAAATAAACTAAATGTTAAACACCTCTTTTAAAGGTTATTTAGAGTTTGTACTATATATATGTCTAAAGAGTGCTAAGCATAAGTAGGACAAGTCTACACAAGCCTGCTAAGGAGAGCTCTACAAGCTCTCTTAGGCTTGTTAGATTAATAGCCTGTTCTTCTATTAGACAACGCACTCCTCTATTACTGCAGGCAGCTGTGCTGCTCTCGTGCTTTCTGACTAGTTCACAAGCGAGCCCTGCTCCAACCCGACTAGATTGTGGAGCACCACGGGTGGAGTTACGCTGGTCCAACCATAGACCGTAACAGCTATAGGCAGCAGCCTAAAACACAGAAAGTAAGAAAGATAAAAAGAAGGCTTTTAAAGCTATTTTAGAGTTTACTTAAAACCTAGCTCAGGTAGCGTAGGTTATAAAGAGTTAGAAGGCTAGTCTTTCTATAGCTAGTGTCTATGTAGCCTTATTCTACTAAAATACTGCGCTGCTTTATTAGGTTTTAGCCTTAAAAGCTTTAGTATTTAACTTTTAAGTAAACATTACAGCGCTCTTAGGCAGCTAAGAATAAAGTAAAAAAGGTTTAAAAAAAGTCTAGAGAGAAAAGAAAAAAGAAGAGAGAAGAGAAAGAAAGGTAAAGAAGAAAGAAAAGAAGAGTCTAGAGGTGTCTAACAGCTTACTGTTAGACCTCCCTAGCGTAATGTCTATAGAGTTGTAATACTATTATATATAACTATAAATTTACTTTTTACTTTTATACTTTATTATCTACTAAGTAATCTATGCCTTTTATACTAGCTTTAAAAGCCTTAATCTACTTATGTAAGGCCTTTAAAGGTTCTAGCTAATTTAAATGCTTATTATAAAAAGCCTTTAGTTTATAGAGAGAACTTATAAAATTTAAAGCCTTATACTAGACTAGATTAGAGTTGTGTTTTACTTATTTTACCTAGTACTTAAGCATTTTCTAGTAGAGCTTGCTAGCAAGTATTTTCTCTACTTTCTACTCCTCTACTCTATTAATAGTAATTTTAGGGGGTTTTAGAGGTTCTTGTTCTAGAAGCAGATTCTAGGGGTCTTTATAGAGTATGTTTAGTGCAAAGACATTATGTATCTTTAACCCTAGAAGTAGCTCTAGGAGGTACAAGTTTCTAACTTATTTAAGTACCTTAAAGAGGCCTTCCTATTGTTTAGATAGTTTTCTGATATAATGTAACAGCACAGGCAAGACAATAGGTCTAAATGCGGTAAGAATCTACTTAGTGTAAGGCCGGGATAGCGCTTACGTGTAAGGCCGAGATGGTGCTTACGTGCGACGGGTATATATACTATTCTGTACGCAATAATTAACGTTAGTTAATTATTTGCACCTTTTTAGTTGTATTAGCGTAGTGGTATAGAGCTCTGTCCTTATATAATAATTAACTAACAACAAGGACAGTCGCGCGTTTAACCTACACCTCAGACAGCTTTGCCAGTTTTTAGACTGAAACGTGAGGCGGCCTCTTCTAGCGCCACGTTGTTGCTGCTGGGAGGTCTAGTGTATATAGCTTAGCTGGCGTGGGCTACTAAGCGTTGCGTC